ACAGAGAAAGTTACTTTTTGTTATTTAGAGCAGTTTTTTTAATAATTGGGAAAAATCAAAAGACGAAAGATTTGAATTTTTCAAATTATCTACCTGTAGTTTTCACAAAATATTTATATAGTTTTTATATTATATTTATAGGTATTTCATATTTTCGTGTTTTTATACGTATTTTTATTTGGATCTGTATTAAAATTATAATACTTAATAGAAATGTCTGAAAATCTAACAAAAAATACATTACGAGGTACATTATAAGTTGTACTTAGTGGTCTAAATAAAAAAAAAATGAGTGTTAAAAGTATTAGTTTTTTTTTCTTTTCATAAGCGCTTTGTTGAAAATCGTAAAAATTACGGCATTTCAAAATGTATACCTTACCGAATTTCACTCCGAGTCGTTTTTCGTTAGCCATGTAAGTAGTTTTCTTAACAAATCTGAGAGTGATAAACTGGTCATTTTTTTGAATAATTTTTGTTTATTTTCGGATCACCTCGGCAACAAGGATAAAATACAACTGGAATAATAATACCCCACTCGAAAATCACGTTTCGTTAGCGTTGGGTTATCGTCGCGTACAGATATAAATTAAATTACTCGATATCTATACAGGGTGATTCATTAAGCGTGCTCAATCAATTTTTTTGGTTATTTTGCAAAATTTAGTAATTTTGCAATATGTTCAAATTCTGATTTTTGGATTTTTTCAAGTATAGTTAAAACCGGTATTTTCCAATACTTATATTCGAAAATATAGTGTTCTAAACAGAAATAAAAAAATACGCCACAGATAACAGATAGGTAGGAAGTGTTTCGCTGAAGGACTGTGTGGTGTCCGAAAATATTTCAATAAAACCTATTTTATCCGAAAATTAATAAATACGAAAGTACAATATACGAAACGACACGGCAAAAACCGACAAGGGTAAAATACGACAAGGTAAAAAACGTTAAATGTATTTTACTTAAAAATCACAAACATTAGTTTTAAGTGAATTTAAGGCAATAATAATAAAAATAACAATAAATCATAAATGGGTATAGCCTATAGCAGTATAGCTGATACAAAATTTGGTATACCTGTTTTTCCACTTAAATGTTCTTCGTATAATGTTTGTTCAAACACTATTACTCAGTGATAATATATTTAGCAACTCCTCAAAAAAAGAAAACAATCCACGGGGCGCCTTTGGAATAAATAGCAATACGACGAAAGTTATTTGATCCTCGGTCGGCAGCCTGCAGTTAGCCACCAATATTTTTAAGTAAAATACATTTGACTTTTTTTATCTTATTACTGTGATCGTTTTAGATTCTGAGTTGAGCGAGGAATGTATTGGTTTTACAATGATGTTAGTTTTTTTTTTATCCATCTGTGAATAACTTTTCTACCGGAAACCTTGCTCCGATTTACAAGTGTAGCACTTTCTCTGATGGAAATCTGACTGGGGTGGTACTTTAAGGAGGTTATTTTTTGATTTTTCCAATAAATGTGAAAAACCGGAGAGAAACGTGGAAAAACTGGGAAAACGGGAAAATAGGTACAATATTAAACAAAAACTAATTAAAGAAAAAATATAATGAATATTTAATTATTTTACCATAATGTGACATATTAATATATATTGTCGACAAAGTCACACTATCAAACGAACTCCGCTAAGAATCGATTTTTCTTTAGCAATGTTTAATCATTGCGTACAGACATATGCTTTAAATTTCCCATCTACTTTATCACTCCCACTTTTCGCCTACAACAATCGTTCACCCACGCGCGAAATATGTCCGTCATTTTTACGTTGTTTTTTTTTTCTTTACCGATTACCTCGGATAAAATATTTTCGACTTGATTGTTTTTCGGATTCAGTTCGGATGAAATATTCTCAAATTGAACACGTTCGGACGGTGTATTCTCCGGGCGAAACACGTTGCCGACGAAACATTAACGTTTCGGACGTGACACGGTTCCGGTCATATGGCCTAATGTTATCTGACGGTATTGTTTTCCGGGGCGCATCGTTTTCCCGCTAAAATACCGTTCGGGTTACGTATTTGTCGGATGTCGTACGCGTTTCCGTGCGTCGGTTCGCGTGCGTTTGCCCGGCCGACCCAAAGCGAAATACCGCGGGCCGGCCGGCAGCGGACGCCGGACGCGTACGCCGACGTCACGTCGCGCCGTACGTAACGCGCGTATTTTATTACAGGGGCGGGCAAACGCCGGTAATTTTATTACAGGGGCGGGCAAACGCCGGCGATTTTATTACAGGGGCGGGCAAACGCCGGTAACATCGCACGGACGCAATAAATGATTTCCCGTATGTGTACTCGGGGCGCCCGTAGCCCGGTCCCTTCGCGCGCTCACAATGAGACGCGGCGACACCGCTCGCCGACGACGACGCCGAGGCGCCGGGTTTTTTTTCCTTAGGTGCCCATGCAACTGTTATTATGTTTGATATCGAGCGCGTCCCGAATTATAATCAAACAAAAAAAAAAAAAATCCTCTTTATTATTACGGTTTTTCTGCTTATTATTTCCGTCGCTGGCGTTTTACGAACGTTATTTATTGCGGTGCAGCACCATTATAACACGGTTTACGGTGTTATTTATGTTCGGTCTCCGGGTCGCCTTCGACCGGTACGACAATAACACGGCACAATGCACGTGTCCGGCTCCCTTACACGACAATAATATTCATCACGCACGCACGCGGTACAATAGGGGCCGGCGGCACGTTGGCGATGAAGCGCGCGTTACCTGCGCGTTTCAAAATGTTCCGTAACGTTTACCCGCCGACGACGCGACGCGACGCCGCAGCCGGTCGCCAGCATTATGTTGTCCGTTGTAATAGGACGGGGACAGAAGAAAAAAAAAAAAAAAAACGACCGTTGACGTTATTTTCGGCCGCGACGACCGACAGCGCCGATAAAAACGCCGTAAATATCATCACGATATTACGATATACTCGTATTATTATTTCGGAAGATACGAAACGTACGCGATATATAAATGTGATATTATTACGTATTATTATTTCGCGACACGTTGCCGCCGCCGCCGCCGTACCAGCTGGTGATACGTTCGAGTGGGTACCGTAGCCGCCCCCGGGGAATTTATCAGGGAAAGGCATAATATAATCGCACGCCGAAAAGTACTTAAAATACATCATTATATTTGACATTTTGAAGTTCGGGGTGGGGCAGACGCCCCGTCTTGCACCCCCTCCGGGCGCCCGTGGTTATGGCGTCCGTTTATATCGGAAAGTGTTGATTTTTTGGGAATTTGATTTCTAGAATACATTTTAAGAAACAATTATGCACCTTATTTGCGGAGGTAAAACCTGCTTTCGATTTTCAAACGGTAACCTTTATTGACACAAGTTTACGGAGTATTAGTTAAAATAAATTTTAGTGTTGGCATTTTTGATTTCCGTCAAGCCGTTGACGAGATATTCGAGGGTTTCAGAGGTCCCAGCCCCCCCCCCCCTGAAATTTATGATTTGTACGGCATACGTGCGTATTTATGAATCTATTTGATCTATGTATTAACTGAAACCCAAAAGCTTTTTTTTATAAACCCCCCCCCCATCAAATTGATTTCTATATACGCCACTGAACGTCCCGTGAACGCTTGAATTGTGGACCTTTTTTTTAATATTTGGATTCTCTTAAAGTTACTACTGTTAAATAAAATATGTGTAATGTGCAATACAGATAAATCAGTTAAAAGTAACCTGCNAACGGTCAATCATATTATGGGGGAACATAAAAATTGTGGCACGCCGATCGAACACTCGATTTATTTATTTATTTATTTTTATTTAACATTTATTGTAGGTAATAATATTTATTCGGTTGTTAAGGGAACGTAACGCGGAAAATTTGTTTAAACCGATTTGACAATATTAAAATTGTTCATTGTAGTTGTTTACAATTCGCGTGCACATCGAGCAAATTAATATTTTCTGCTTATTACATTGATTTCCACGCAATTTTGTTCGCTTATTTCTACATTTTGTGTATAGCATCACAAATATTCATCATATATCTTAAGTTTTTCACTGTTTTACAGACGTTTTTCATATATTATTTTTCCTATTCAAAAAACATCTATTCATTCTTTTTTTTTTTGAATTAACGTTTATTGCTTTAACATGGACCGTCAACGTAAGTATTTTTTATTCATTATTGTTTATTAATATCAAACATTTAGGAGAACGCGATATAATGCTTTCCCACACATCATTGTGGTGTCTATCGCTCGTCCCCGTCTTTCAAACGTACGGCTTACAGAATAACACCGGCAAACTTGAAGTTATGAACATTATCCATACATCGATTTTTTTCTCGATATTTTGATTGCTTAGCGAGAAATTACGTCTAGCTAAATGACATATCACAATTTAAAAATTCGCTTGGAAAAATTATTAAATTATCGAGAAAAAAACCGACGTATACGAAAACGTAATCTGAAAATGTTCTTACCTTTTGATAAAAATAATGACTATTTAAACTGACAGCATAAAGTTAATCGTGTGTTTGTCTAAGACGAGGACTACGACGCATGCGGATATCAAATTCGCTCTTATTCCTTTTTTTTTATTTCACAGTAAAAGTTATTAAATTATAATTCTACTATCTACTCACATATTCTATATAATTTTTGTGTATATCTGCGGATTTTATTGTAGTAGTTGTTCTTTATACACGGTGTAAAAAAATTATTTAACAAAATTTAAACATTTTAATTCTACTGGATATTTTGATCAATCAACTAATTAACCCACCTTCCCAAATTCTCATCTACTACAGTGGCCACTCCCATCTTCAGTATCAACTCTTTCTTTTTTTTATTTGTAATAATTATTGGACAACTGCGCTATAAATGTTATATTATATATTTTATTTTATTTCAACACAACAAAAATAAAAAATTTAGATTTTTCATTAATTTTTTTTTATATAATCTAAGATAGATATTTTATATATTAATTTGTATCCATGTTATGTTCGTCAATTTTGCTATTCGATTCTGTGCAATTTCTGATGTGAACCTAACGAATGATTTGAAAACAGTAAAAAGAAAATCATCATTAGTTAAGAAAACTTCCAACGGATTTAAAAAATTTAAGTTTACAAATGAATCGCATTTACGTAAGTTTAAAACAACATTATTTTAGTTTGCGGCCTTAAGATAAATTGACTGTTTCGGTATAATATAGTTTCTTAACTAATCTCAGAAGAAATTTCCTGAATTCGGCGAATTCTTCGTTTTCTTATTTAATATTAACCAAATAAAAAAATGTTATGATCCATTATAGAATTTAAGAAAATACATGAATCAACAAATGAGCCCAGTTCAGATGCGTCTAGCGCAGATGTGTTAATGTCCGAAAAACTTCTGCAAGCGGCCATTGGTAAATAATTGAATTTACAAACTAAAATTTACCGATTCTCTCAATATTGNTAATTTTCTAACGCCACACAAATTATTAACCCAAAATTATTTTTAATTTTTTTTTAATATATGTAATAATATTTAAACAAAATAATTTTTTGTTAATAATTTGTCTTGTGAAAACTAATTTAATTATTTAGAGTCGTTCGACTTGGGAAGTTTAAACCCTTTTACTATGAGATTTAATAATATGTACTTGAAATGTTTTGTATGCTTTGTTTCGAGACTTTTTTTTAACCTTTTTAAGTTTTTTTTTTTTGTGAATTTTAAGTGCAATAAGTTCCGAGTGATACTTATTATAGTACCAGTTGCTTTATGTTAACTAAATTACTATTGATAATATTTTAAACCATTAAATTGCAGATAGCATTTTACTAAAGGAACCAGACGTTTCTGAGACCGAAACGTCACAAGTGTTTTTTTACGGGTTTCCTCGAGAAGTTGAGAAGAAAAATGAAGACATTATTAGTAGTCCTGAAAATATTAAAGGTAATAAAACAAACAGCGATTCATTATATTTAGTATGTACATTTAGCCAGAATCTATTTGTATAACTTTTCTACTATACATCAGTGGAAAAGCTTTTTTTTAAATGACTCGCTCGCCACCTATTGTAAAATCCAGAAACTGAAGACAAAATTACTTAGGCTATTATTATGGATATATTTGCTTGTACCTGTACAGTATACACTATATGTCCGTCAATTTTTTTGGTTATTTTATTTTATTTTGCGTCTATGTATTTTTCCATAATATTCTTAAATAGTATTATGGTAATATTAATAAATTATAAAATAGGGATGTAAATAATATTAATGTCAGTATTTTATATTTATTTGTAGTCTTAAATATTAGAAGTCGCCAAGCTATGTTAAGTTAATTGTATTCAATTATCACACTTATCAAATACAAACAGTTATAAACAATTTCTATACTAAAGAATTTTAACAATTACTAAACCTCTTTTTGATATCACAACTATTCTAAGGTGAATTTTTTTTTCTTACCGAGGGTTTTTTACACGTAGTTGACGGGGGGAAAGGTAAGTAAAAACTGTTGGAATATAAACAACTCAGTATAATTGGAAAATTGTATAATATAGTTTCTTAATTAATCTCAGAAAAAATTTCCTGAATTCAGCGAATTCTTCGTTTTCTTATTTAATATTAACCAAATATAAAAATTTTATGATCTATTATAGAATTTAAGGAAATACATGAATCAAATGAGCCCAGTTCAGATGCGTCTGGCGCAGATGTGTTTATGCCCGAAAAACTTCTGCAAGCGGCTATTGGTAAATAATAGAATTTACAAACTAAAATTTACCGATTCTCTCAATATTGAGATACTGATTAAAAATCCGCATAAAACTGCTCAAAAACGTTAAAAAAAAGCACATAAAAATATTTAAAAAGCAGAAATGGTAAAAGGGTTTAAACGTTCCGCCTCTAACGGCTTTAACTTATTTAATATAATTTTCTAACGCCACACAAATTATTAACCCAAAATTATTTTTAATTTTTTTTTAATATATGTAATAATATTTAAACAAAATAATTTTTTGTTAATAATTTGTCTTGTGAAAACTAATTTAATTATTTAGAGTCGTTCGACTTGGGAAGTTTAAACCCTTTTACTATGAGATTTAATAATATGTACTTGAAATGTTTTGTATGCTTTGTTTCGAGACTTTTTTTTAACCTTTTTAAGTTTTTTTTTTTTGTGAATTTTAAGTGCAATAAGTTCCGAGTCTTACTTACTATAGCACCAGTTGCTTCATGTTTACTAAATTACTATTGATAATATTGTAAACT